ATCTTAGCTGTGGAGGGCAGTGTCACTGGCCCTCATATGTGGGATCCGAACCAGGGCCCTCTGGCATCCCAAGCGAGTTCTTAACCATCGCGCCACTCAGCCGGCCCTCCCAACTGTATTCTTAAGAGTAATAGTACATCAAGTAACTTAGATAGCTACTTCTTGGCATTAGCTTAAATGAGTAGTTTAAGGAAGGAAGTAGTTCCTTCCTTCCATCCATCCTTCCTTCCTTCCTTCCTTCAATAAATGCGCTATGGATGTGAGTGAGTAGGGCGCCAGAATGAACTCTATCTCAAAAGCCTTCATAGCCTGTGAGAAAAGAATTGTAACATTTTCTTCAGCTTGCCAAAGTGCCATTGCTATATGTCTTACCCATCTTGCCTGATCGCACCACTATATTTTCTTTAAAAATTAAATTCCCAGGAAGAGCGCTGATATAGTTCCACTACAACTGCCTCTGGAAAAACTTTACGTGGGTGTCTAATAGGGTCCTGCAGCCCAGGCATCTTATCTTGCTGTTGCTCCTAAATCCCCTCATTTGTCATTAAAGATGCATGCCTCAAGATGTTAAAGGAGATCACTTCTTCTTGTTGCTTGGTTTTATTCTTCCATCTTCAAAATGTGATTGCAAATAGTGTCACTTCTCATTTCCTCTATTGGATTCTATTTGCTGAGTATTCATTACACTCAACCAGGTACTTTCAGAAGCTAAGATTCAGCGCTACACCCCATGGAAGCTTTGTCAGTGCAAACAAAATGTAGGTGGGAGAAAACACGGGGATCCTAGCCTCATTTTCATTTTAATGATGGTGGGACATGATTGTTGTTGATTCTTTATTTCAGGGATCCCAGAAGACCCACTTACAGCTGAAGAGTATTATACTGACGCTTTTGATTCCTGTTCTGAAGAGAGCGAGGAGGAGGCAGAAGAAACAGTGTTCTCGGGACTGGAGGAAGAGGTCAAGGAGGAGGGGCTGCAGCCTGATTACAGAACAAACCAGCAGGTACGTCCTGCTCCCCTCCGGAAGTAGTGGGGTTGACTGAAGTGTTGTGCTTCCTGGGCTGTGACTTCTCAGAGAGACTCAAGGAAGTCTTCCCACCTGAAGTGGGGGATAGCAGACTAGGTCTGTTACAAAGGCTCCATGTGGTGAATCTTGATTTCCAAGGTCCAGGGGCAGGCAGGGCCCCCATGGAATTCTGAGAATCTGGCCTGGACCATGTTAATGAGGGAAGGGCTGGAGTTCCAAGCCCTTATTGAGGGGTGGGGTTGGGGGTGGGGGGAGATACACACTACATTATACAGTGAGGAGCACCCCATATACAGCTATTGAATAAACAATGCAAATGTCTCTTTAGCAGGGAGAAGGAGATTTTTAAAAAATATCTTTTTCTGCCTGGTAATCAGATTTGTGAGTCATGTCTCAGGGCACAAATTAGTTCTGGAGATGAGGCCCAAAGATCCTGGGCTTAGGGGATGAGCTTTCTGGCCAATGTGAGCCCCTGATGGCCCATCCTTACATGCAGAGCTGAGGCCCCTGAGTAGATGTCCTTGCCACAGATCTCTTTAACTGTAGCAATAAGCCAAGAAACAGTGCTGCCATGTGGTTTCTCGGGGGTGTGTCTGCAGGAGAGGGGAAAAGCAAGGGATGCATGAAGAGAGAGCAGATGACTTTGGGCAATGTATGATCATATACTTCATTTTCTTCGTAGGCCATCACCTAGTAACCTTTCAAGTCCTAAACTTCCATAAGGTACAGATGCTTTTTACTAACTGGGAACCATTACGCTAGTAAAATAAAAATCAAAGAGCACCTGTGTCAGTGGAAACCTAATTCAGGAGGATTGTTTTGGAGTAGAGAGAAGGTATACACAATCCGTTCTACCATTTCTAATGAAGACTAAATAATATATTATAATATTCAATAAATAAAACAAGAAATGTTCTTGAGTTCTTTATAAGAAAAGGAGAGGGAGGCAGGGAAAAGGAAACTAGAATGGCATGGATATGGGGGAGTAGAGAATGCGATGAGAGAAAGAGAAAGAAAAAGAGAAAAAGAGACAGAAAGGATGAGAGAGAAATTGAGATAAATATATGAAGAGAAGCAAATAAATGAGGAAAATACAGTCCGGCAGGGGAACTATTCAGAATGCCAAAATAAAAACACTTAACTTTATACCATGTCCACATTTTCCCCAATGGACTCTGGTGAACAATAGCCACAAATTAAAATTCCATTTGTTTCTGTGCCACTGCCCAAAACAACTGAGACAGATATTATTACAGAACCATCATTCTGTGCCTGTGGTTGCAAAACAATGATATGCAAAATATATACTCAATTTTTGCCCAAAGCATCAAATGGTAAAATTTTAGCTACTAATATTGTTATTTAATAATGTTTTTTAATAAAATAAAACTTGCTCTCAGAGAACCACAGGAATAAAATATATGGCCAACAGCACCCAGGTCAAGAAATAGACCACTGCTAGCCGCTGCAGAAGTCTTACCTCTGGCGTACTTGGTAGAACAGAGGGTTGGAAATCAAACTGCCTGCATGAGTCTAGCCTTTGTGACTTACAGGTTGTGTAAACTTGTGCTAGTTACTAAACTTCATTGTGCTTCCGTTTTCTAATTTGTAAAATGGGAGAATCATGGTTCCTACCCCAGAGAGTAGTTTTAGGGAATAAATTAATTAATCAATGTAAAGTACTTAGAATAGTCTCCAGAATTCAATAAAGAAATTATAATGAGATATTAGTTTTTATTATGAAGATGCCCAGCCATTTTGTGGCCTTTTTATGATATAGCCCAAACTCTTTAATGTTAAAGTGAGATTTTACAACTGTAGTATAAAAAATATCCCTTCTTATATCTTGGAGCTGAAGATGAACATAGGGCAGCAATTTTGCTTTCTTGGCTGTGCATCTGTCACATGATAGATTGTGATTGATTTTAAGTAATCTATTGGGACAAGGGGATCATCACACTCATGGTCTTTATGTGAGTATTCAGATCGAAGTTGATTCCCCTCCCACTGGGTGGGCTAAAAGTTGCATGGTTTTTATTTTGGTGGAGGAAGAGCTTTCAAAAAGAAAAACAACCATGGGCTTCATTGAGATTGATTGTTGAGTCTCTTGTGCCACCCGTGATAATCTTTTCGGCAGCTGTGTCTCCAAAGCAGAGTTTTATTTATCACCTAATTGCTGTTGATCGTCACTTGCTTCTTTGCTGCACTAAGCAGAGCATCAATAACACTGTTATCAGAGCCATTATCATATTGTTGACAGCTCTTCTCTGAAGTCTGTGGTCACTGAATTGGAACCAGTCTCTTAGATCTCAGGAGGATGGCTGTCATCATAACAGGGCTTTCAACAGTATTTACGGGACCTGTCGCTGAAAAGTGTTGCCTGTGCTCCAGTGGACATGTCGTAGGGCTGCAGACTCATGGGTGTTTTTGTAGACCTTCCTGTCTTTCCCCCACTAACTTAGCTCCCAGCCCTCCAAGACGAATCAGTGTGCACTAATAATACACATACTAGCTGGACCATAATGACTTGACGCGCACTCCCTTAGGGAAGGCTCTGTTTAATAATGAATGTGGCTTCTATCGATGCTTCTTTTAAGGCTCTTGTTCTTGCTAACACGAAGGGCTGCAGAGGCCCGTTTTCCCAGCTACTTCTGAAGTTTTCAATATGTTTTGCCCAAATTTCGCAGTAGTTTTGAAATTCTCTCTGCACATGAAGCGTTAGAAAAAACAGGAATGATCTTCTGCTTGGAACGGTGCCACAGGGACAGAGAAGTGGTTACAGTGTCGGCAAGGCCTCGGATTCACCTGAGGACTCTTTAGATCAGGTTGTCATGACAGTAGGTACCTCTAAGAGCGTCTTCTGTTACTGGAGTCATTCGTTTCACCAAATCGTAATTATATGAGATAACAGCTAAAATTTCCAGAACCTTCATTCTATGCCCAGTACTTGATATACTGTGTAGTTCAGGTCTTCTGGGAAGCAGATGACAAGACAGAATTAGAAATGAAAGAGAAACACCTGTGAAGTAGGTGGGGAGAGCCTCAAACCCGATGCTGTCCTACATCTTTGAGGGGAAGGACAGAGAGAAGAAAGGAGGACTGAGTGAGCGCCTCTGCCTGGGGTGCAGTTCTGAAAAACATCTTGGCTGATGAAGAGCCCCAGGGCAGACAGCTTGTTAGAGGAACCCTCGCTGAGTGGGCGTGGCCTCGCTGTAGTATTCCCACCATGCTCCTGCGGGCTGGGAGCTGCCTGGGAAGAGGGTGGCCTTGGCCTGAACTCTGCAGTGGCTACCGAAGTCGCCGCCGCCGGAGGTCGTCAGCTCACTACACCCCTTGCAGCAGGCTTGCTCTTGAAGAGATACGTAAGTGGCACACCTCCGTAGCTGCACAGACACGTTACTTCATTTAGCTCTTGCAACAACCTTTTGATGCCTGTATTCTAGCTGAGCAGCATCAAACTAGAATTTAACTGGCTGGAATTCAAGGTGAGGGTGGGAGAAAGGAAGAGCCCATGAGGTAAGGACTTCAGGCATTTCTGCCTGACGTTTCGATCAAGAAGTGAAGCCTGGAGTGCAAGTGAGCTGAGAGCTGTAAATCCAGAGCCCTGCCTGCCCCCTGCCCTGACCCTACCCTGCCCCCACCACACACACACACACACACACACACACACACACTGCATCCCAGTTCTTGTGTGTCTCTCAGGTTGCGAACCTCTTGTTGCTTTGAATTGTTGCCCTAAACTTACAGTATTTAAAGATGCATGTTTTTCATACAATGCTGTCCCTAAGTGTAAGTCAGCTATTTCATTTCATGCTCCAAAAAGAAAAAGCAGTGGAGAATATTGGTCTATAATTGATTATTGTATTAAGCACTGATGTTAAAACCCAAGTCCATTGAAAGATGAGACGACTGGTGATATTCTAACTTTGCTAAAGAGGAAACTGAGGCATAGCGAGGTGAGGTAACTTCTCCAAGAGTTAGGCTAGCTGATTTCCTTTGTAGTCACTCCTTGATACAATCTTCTTCTGGTACAACTGAGTAGACACCCCAGGCGGGAGGGACCACGGCGTTATCTGGTCCTCTGCTGAGACCTGTTTTACTGAGTAGGATAAATGAGATACATAGGAGGCCACGTGTGTACCACTTTTAGGAAAAGTTTTGAGTTACGAAAATTAAAACAAAAAAGAGCCTGCCTCTCACATCTGTTATGGCATGCAGACTTCTCTCCTCCTGCTGTGTTTTTATAGAAGGTGCCAGAACTTTTGAGTCCAACTAGTAGGGCTGATTCACCTGCTATTTGTAGGATATGGCTTAATTAATTTAACTTCATCTGTGGGAGGATACACTTTTTGTCTTGAATTGACCTTACAGGGCATCAGTTCTCAGAAGCAGCCAGCCTTGCTGAAGTGTTAATTACCACTAATGGGTTAATTACCACTAATTACCACTGATGGGCCTTCTGTAGACCCAGTGTGTGTTACTCATACGAGTGACTTTGATGTCGCGGTTTCCACCCCAGTCCCTATTTCAGCCCTCATTTTGTTATGATTGTCCCCCTTTCCCTCTCTCGCTACCATTTTTTGTCCAGGATAAAGCATAGCCCATGGCTGGTCACACAGACACCAGCAAAACCTTGCTCTGGGGCATAGCCCAGTGGGCTCTGTAGAATGCCACAGTCCCTAAACCTTTTCAATTAAATCCACTGTTGGGTTTGGGAAACCCCTCACACTGTGTGGCCCATCGCCAAAGCCTGGAAGGGAAAGAGGGAAGGTGACAGGGCTGGTGGAGACAGAGCAAAGCTGAGCAGGCGTGAGGAGTGCATGCGGAGGGTGGGAGGTCACCAGCCTCCACTACATTGCTGTTGGTGGGTGAGCAGAGGTCCACAGGCACATGGGGCAGTGTGGGGACAGTGAACTGCAGTGCAAGGCATCCCTGTGCTCTGCTGTGCTGCTCCTGGAGGCTTATGCTGATTTTCA